TCGGGACTTTTAATTTCATTTGTGTATTGCATGAGCTAAACAAAACTGCCTTGTCATCCCTTGGTCCAATAAGTTAAATAACCCATACGTCGGATTACATTATGCTCTGAAATGCAATACAAAGGAAAGGTTTGCCATTTGGGGAAATACACCAATTTAAATGCTTTCCATGAGTTATATTAGCTTAACTTAGCATAAAAAATGGAAATAGGAGGTAAAGCCCACTAACATATTTTAGTTATTGTCAAAAACTTTTAATCACTCTCATGCACCTAAGGAGGAAGTCAAAGATCATTTTCTTGTACGCTACAAATTCTATCACACCTACTAATCACCAAATACTTACTGAAACTCCTGCAGACCAAGTAATCACAGGTGGTCCTAGACTGACCATATCTCTCTGAGTGATCAACTGTATTATATATCAAAGAGTCTTGTTATAAGTGAAAGACCAAAAGGAGCTGAAGAGGTGAAGACAGGTAATAAAGCCAGTCTTAGGAGGCATTCTCCTGAAGCCAGACATGTTCTTGGGAGTAAAATGTGAAGTTAAAAGCATCTCGTTTTGGAGGCACATCTATTAAAAACTGTAGCCCCCAGTCATTATTCTAAGTGTGACTAATAGCACGTGTAATGGGAGTATTGAAAGTGAATGAATTACCAGTCACCAACAGAAAGCGGCAAAGAAAACACGAGCTTGTATTGATTAAACTGCCATATGTCGGCATTTCAGGAACGCTAGTCAGAACATACGGACTATTGGACCGTAATTTGCATTTATTTGCACAGACAGTCCCTTTGGTGTTTGAGATACTGTGTTAATTTTATGGGTTAGAGGCTGTTCAAGGTTTGGTTAGTTTAACTCTTATCCTACCTTCATCAATGCTTCCATAATAAACACCGTGTTCCTATTTTTTCTTATAACTGCGAGGTTCAAAATGTACAAGTTCGGAAGCTCACTAGAATTGTGTCTGTCAAGGAGGAATCAGAACACCTACAAAAACAAACATGAACTGTGCATGGATCGATCGTTGCTTTCAGCAGCTATTTCGTGGCAGAAGTCTGCAGAGGCCAAGAGTTTATACACCTCAAGTGCTGGTAAATGGAAAGGGGATTCTAAATGATTTGCCTTTCCAGAGTACTGGCTTAGAAATCCCCCTCTTAGTCCCTTATCAGAGATCAGTGTCTGGCCCAGGGGTGATTTACACCATCTGGGTGCTACAGAACAGACCAGCACCGATGTGACGTCTTCTCTGTGTGGGGAGTTGAACTTCAGTGAAAGCAGGTCAATCAGATTGTTTTCCCCCCTACTTTTTCACAATGCTACAAGTCTGGTCTTCCTCTTTGGAGCTCTGTGTTTCTTTACTACTAGTTTTAGTCTCCTCGAGTGTTTGAATTTCTTCTTTCTTAAATCTGGGCACTGACAGAAAGATAAGATCCTCAAAGACACAAACATGCACAGTATACAAAAACATTTAAATAGGTAATACACTAGGAGGCTTTACATAACACAGAATTGTTGTCAGAGCAGATGTATGTGTACACCTTGAGTATCTGGATAGTGGCGCTGTACTCCAAAATACTTGATTTGAAATTAAATTGAACAGCCCCATTTAAAATCAAATGAGTAGTGGGAAAACTACATAAGACTTGCAGCCCTGTGCCTGTCATACTGCACCAAATGGGGCAACTATGTCTAAAAAAAAACAATGTCAACACAAATACGATGTAAAGACTATCAAACACTTTACTTTAAAACCAGTGTGACTAAGTACAGAGGAGCCAAAACAACTCCAAAAGTGACCACCACCTAAAAACGTCACTATAGCTTCAAGAGCAGACCTCGGTGCCACGGCGCTGGCGTGACTTCAGTCGGTTCTTTGTGACTCACATGCGTCTGTTCTTTCCCCAAACTTCTTTCTCCAAACTTCTTACAGGACCGAGTGCCACCGTGCTGAATGTGAGCTTTGAACATATCTGAACATGTGGGCGCCGGGGAGCCTCCAGTCTCAACAACCCTGCCTGAAGTAGCTTTAGAAGAATAATCAATTAATCCACACACCAAAAAGAAAAGTTCTATCTTGTCAACGAGGGCGGTTGAGTATAATCACTCTCAGTTTAATCCTTTCAGTCATGCATGCAGTTTGCTATTTCTTCTCAAAACGCTAACTCAGATTAAAACGCCGGGAAAAAAAGCAATCTGACTGACAACATAATCTGTGATTGCCGACACATATGCTGAATTAAATGGATTATGCAGGAGGGAGCCGACTCATAGTTCGCTCCTCTTTGTGTGCAACACTCGGTAATATAAAAATGAGATTAAAGGAACAGCAGGATGAATGTAATATTGTGCCATTGTTTTCTCCCTCCGATAAGGAAATATCCAGATTGTTTATTTCCCTACATAAATGACTTGAAGTTTAAGATTCCTCAAGTCTACTGGCATAAGCATAAAGCCTGTTGTTTGACTTATAATTTAAAATTGTCACATGTGCAGTCTTAAAGTACCGTGCAATATCATTGCAGTACCAAAATTACAAGGAAGTAAAATACGCTGTACAAAAATGTTTCCTTCTATTTTCTATTTGTCATCATGTTGTCCACATGGTACAGTATATGGATGTTACTGTATCATCAATGATACAGTGCAAACAAGTGCTTTCACACATGGCTAACACATCATCTGCGCAACATGAAAACATCTCCTTACGACACGCACTTCCCCACCGCATTGCTCGCAATTAATCCTGCTCAAATCGACAACTCCCCTCCGTTGTTATTAAAATCCATTGTTAGGCAGCGAACCCAGGAGGGCCCGTGGGATCCTGTTAATTTACGAAGATGCTAAAAGCAGCTCCAAAAATGGGACGCCGTCACACTTTGCGCTGATTACATAACAACTCCTGTGGCTGAAAATGCATAGCCGACTGATCCTGTTCACTTGCAGGCTTGACAGCAGAAGCTGGTGGATTCTCCCCTTATTACACAGCAGAGAAGGACTAGGCTATGATGCCCTGTCAGTCTGCTGAGGCTCTTCTTTCTACATTGGGACTGTGGTGATGCAGTCTGCTGTTTCTTTTTTTTTTTTTGCTTAAAACAAAGTTGGCATAATGGCTCATTAACAATTTAAAGCATCACCTCATTATCTTCCACACTTCCTCCAGAAGGAATCTATGCGATATATGAGCAGTGGAATCCCTGCGAGACGCCAGTGAATGCGGCAGAAATTGTAAATCCTAAAGGAAAATATCAAGTCCCTATTCATCTTAGCTGGTCACAGCTTTGTTATTCAGGTATGGAGATTAAAGAGGACGACCAGACAGATCTGACTGTCAAAAGGCTGGCGGAACGAAGAGCTCAGGAAGAAGAAAGCCTGCAGAATGAAAAGGAGGATTAGAAAATCTCCAAAAGTCCTCACGGCACATTTTCACAACGCCGGATGAAGCTTTCAACAGCTCCCAAGGGCTATCTTCAAACAGGGCACATCAAGCTTCCTTTAGTTAAGGTACTTTAACCAAAGAAGGAAGACTTTTGCAACAGTTTAGATGCTTACAGGTGATTAAAAGTATGAAAAATACATGATCCCACAGTGCAATCAAGCTTGAGTCAGATGTTGCACTTTGTGTTATTCATCAGAGTTGTTGATGCTCTGATCACCATGGCTTATCAGAGAAAGCTGGAAAAACAACTTTTGATCATTTTGTGCACAGGAAGCCTAACAATCTGGCTAACACACACACACATGAAACATGAGAGAGGCCTGATGTCAGTCCTCATATGATCACTGCTGTTATGTTACTCAAAACATTTTTGAAGACACTCCAGGTTTCTGGTCAAAAATTCCCACAATCAGGGTGGAGAACATCTCTCCTCCTGCTTGATGCATAGCCAAAGCAATCTGACCTCCCTGCATGAAGCTGCCTGTCTGCAGGAAGGAAGTTTTTTGTTGTCACAAGGAGGAGGTCGCATTGTGTGTCCCCCGTCTATTTCCAGAAACAGGCTGCATGTCAATAACACAAACACTTTGGCATGGAGATGCAAACATTAGTCCAAAGAAGGGTGCCTTGCAAAAAATGACCTCACACTGGCAAACATCCCGCATGGGTATTTCACCTCCTTTTAAGATGAGACATGTGTTCCGTCCGAGTGGGAAGACATTGGCCTTGAACTGTATGATCGTGGGATCACATAGTTTGTAATTGCACATATAAATCTGTAACTAAGCTGCATCTGGCCAGAGTGTGATGTGGACTCTTTATCCTGCACTTTGGCCCTGCGCTCATTAAAACATTTTCTGGATTTCAGTAGTTTGTTGATGCATCTCTGCACCAGCAGAGAAAAAAAGAGTGTGACTGCACCTGCGCATAAAGTATTCAGTGAATTTAGGGGGAGGGAAAAAAAAAAAAAAAAACATCCTCTGGTGGAGCATAAGAGCAAAGAGGAGATAGGAATGGATGCCAGACCGCCTGTGACTGCATCATAGTAGTGAGCTAAACATAACATAAGGAGGGGGATGGGATGGGACTAGTGAGATTACCTCATCTAGCGCAAATTGTGTTATTATAACCCTCATGGCTGAGCTCTCTGTGAAAAAAACAAAAAGCAATGGCAACAGAGCAGTGAGATGATGACCATACCGGCTTTTTTTTAAATGATCTTATACTGTGCAAATTGATAAATCACATTTTCATTCCACAAATTTAAATCAGCCCTAAGTGTTAAGCTTGTTGGGGGGGAAAAAAACAAGCTTTCCGAATTATGGACTGTGTGTACCCGCACCTCCTAATGGATCTGTATTCATAATTAATCACAAATGTATTTCCGACCACACTGTCCTATCCCTTCACCTTAATGCGAACCCTGTTTCTCAACATCTGAACGGACCGGTGTTGGGTTTTCTAATCATTTCAACGTGACCCGAGGACGTGAATGACAAAGCGCTCGTGCAAAATTTCAAACAGAGAAGGAAAAAAAAATCATGTCCATCAGTTCAGACTTACATGTTGCTCCTGGCAGAGTATTTTCCTCCATTGCGGCGGCAATACCCTCGCTTTCTGCTCTTTTGTTCATTCAAACATACGAGTTTTCAGCTCTCCCTCCCAGCAGTGCTCTCATTCCTCAGGCAGAATAAGGAGGGGGGGAAACTTGGTCGAGTCACTCCTGAACGGACGAGGACAGGAAATCCTCCGGTGCGCGTCCGGATCGGTCCCGAATAGGACAATTCAAACAAATTAAAAAAATAAAGCAGAAGGTTGTCGACTGAGGCACTGGTGGCTAGTCCTGCGAGAAGTTAAATAAAAAACAAAAGCAGACAAAAAAAAAAGAAAGGTGTCCGAGGGAATTTTGGGAGAAGGAAAAGCCAGAGAGGAGGAGGGAGAGAAGTTTCTCACTCTCCGACACACCACAGCTGATGCTCTGCTCGTGCGGAGGATCCCACACTGGCCTCCGGATCGGACTGTACCATTACTAATATGGGGGTGCGGCTGCGACTTAGGGTCTCGTTTGTTAGAAAAAATAAAGTACATTTAACCTCGTGGAGAACTCAGAAAGTTACTAATACATTCATTTATACATATCCAATAATCATAAGGCAAACTCGACAAAAGGAAGTAATCTTTTAATGTTAAAGAAAACTATTCGTCCCCCGGCGTTCTGATTGGTTCCTTCGCACACACAACTAGCACGCTTGCGGCCGGTTCACAGTTCACATTCAATCAAAAAAACCTTTGCTTTGGGAAATGTGCAGTTGGTCAGCATGTGTGGCAAATTGTCAACAATGTTGTTGCCTTTTATTAGATGATTGAGGCACTTTTGTCTTCTGAAAATCCACTTAAAATGCACAGCTATATTCAAATAACGTGGGATCGCTACAGTCAATTTCACATATTTTGGGGGGGAATTAGTTACAAAAACACATTATTTACTTTGCAGAAATCATTCATTTTTGGCCAGACAAGTGTATCTGACAGCTACCCCTGCTCAGCCACATATAACCGAATAAATACCAAAGTCTCAAGCGAAAGCAGCATTAAAAGACAAAAGAAGAGTTAATCCACAAACTAAATATTGAAACCACCTTAAAAAAAACCTGAAGCTCTGTGTCAGCCTGGTTTTCGTCTGGAAAGACAAGTTTTGTGGGTTTGTATCAAATGATTTAAGGGATTTACAGTATTCGGTGTACAGACTATTCGATCATCCTTAAGTCTTTGGGAACACCTTTTAAAGAAATTAAAGTTTGTGCTGCATCCACAATACAACACAGTGGTACAATAGAAGAAGAAGGTGAAGAAGTTTTATATATGTGTTTTTGTATTTTTGAGTCCATACCAACATACTGCTTTAAAATTTTATTGTCTTCTTAGTGGCTACAACTTTCAGCTGCACACATGTAGCCACATTTAACGCTATGTTGAAATAAACAGGTTAAACAGTCCTTTTGCAATTTTTTTGTGGAAAGAGAACATTAGATTATCTTGTCAGCCTGGTCATTGTTTAGACAATGGATGTGCTGAACAGGTTACTCCACCCAAGAGCAATAGGGTTCGATATTCCCTTTATTCAAAGAAAACACACTTCATTTTAAAACAAGTACCTCAACATGGCTCTTCATTACATAACAGTGCGTAGGACTCCAGCACGTCTTCTCATCTACCACCTGTGGCTCCGTCGTAGCATCTGCCGAGGTGGGGGCTGGGCCAGGGGCTGGCCGGCACGCTTGAGAGGGGACACCCTGTCAAAAGGACCCTAGTGGGGCTCTTTTGTGCAGCTGTTGAGTTGTGTTCACCCAAACCCCCAAGAGCCACCTGTCATTGCAACTGGAAAGTGGGGGATGTTGAAGGAAATGGGGGTTGGGTGTACTGTAGGGTTGCTGGTTGTTTAAAGCCAAAAAAAAGTGACTGTGTATGTCTCAAAGGCTACATGTACTTGTAATCAGATTACTCCTAAATGTCCTTGATAATTTCACTTGGCGATGTAAACAAACAGTTTCGTCAAAAATCCTGTTCTCCTAAAGTCATCAAGCTCTGTTTGAGGATCATCTGTAATTTAATCAAAGATAAGTATGGTGTTCAATTTACACACAAGAGGAGCAATTACGAGTTTGGTTTCCACTTCTTTCAAGTCAAGGAACATTAAAAGAGAGCAGGAAACGTCTTTTTTTCTTTTTAAAGTAAGATTATTGGCTCACAAAGCACACAAACTGTTATGTTTCTTTATAGAAAATAGAAGCAATATCTCTTTCATATGTCGCTTTTGCCGAGAACTACTGGTGTTAAACGATACCATTTATAGCTTCTCATTATGGATTTTGAAATTTAAATATTATAGCAAAATAAATAAAAGGCTTCCTAAAACATTGCTTTTCAAGTGCTTTGCAGAAACACATTTTTAGATCTTCTGCGCCCTCTCTTCAGCCAACCTATTGACACCCGCCAATCCTTTCATCCTTTCATTCTTATTTCTATACAAAGCTCTTGAGCCAACATGTCTGCACACACTTGCACTCAAACACCTGTGCACACAGAAAATATGCTCTTGGTAAAAAGCTTTCTAACGCAAAGGTAGAAATATATGCCACATTAATGTTAATGAGGTTGTTATCTATTTTTGAAGAAAGGAGCAAAATGTAATAAATCTCTGCAGAGTGTTTAACCATATTGAGAAATAAGATGATTTACTTGCTTCAAAATAAAAAAAAAAAGCAACACATTTGCAGACTGGAATTAATTTTAAAGGAAATTTGCTGAGGTGGTTTATTCGTTTTACTCCTGGGGAGTCAAATTTTCATAACATATTCTCTAAAAATCTACAACACCTTTAATTTCAGTAAGTTTTATAGTTTCATAGAGGCTGAAGGTATCCTCTTTAGGAACATGTGATGGCATCATAAAGGACACATTATAACTCAGCACTGCACACTAGACAGTACATAGACCTGGTGCATGAGCCAGCAGTCTGATAGGAAAATTAAAGGGCCGGGGATAAAAGCATACCTCAGTGTCAGGAGCCATGTGTCCATTTATCACACAGCAGTGTGCTTCACTGGGCTAATGAGCCATTCAAAGTGAGGTGGATGCAAATCAGCAAAAAAAATAGCCGGCTACCATTAACTGGGTTTTAGATGTGTTGAAATGTTGCATGACTTCAAAAAGTTCTGCAGACCGAAACAATGTCAAACGATGCTTTTGTTCTCTTGCCTCCCTCTCTTTATTTTTTAGTTTGAGTTCAGGCCAGGCTCTGTAAGTAACCCATGAACCTGTGTCATCTCCATTAGTGAACCATTTGTGTGACCTCACTGCACACAGGAAGTAAAGGGGGCCCCTCCTCCTCTATGCATCCCTCAGTACTCAAAAAAAGGGCTTGATTTTGGAGCTGCAGCTGCACCCCTCACTTAGCACACAGAGAACCCGTACCACACACACACACACACACATATCTCATTAAACTGCCTTTGATCGCTGTAAGCAGTTCATGCATTGAAAGAGAACACTGGGAATAAAAGAGTAAATCAAAATCATCACTACAGAGAGGACATGATTGCATCAGTATGCACACATGCTCAAAACAAAAGTAACTATTGGAAGGACTGCAAAGCAGAAAAAAAAAGCTCTAAGGAAGCTAAAAATGGAGCTGAGATCCAGTAACATGTTATATGGGACAACAGATACTGGAGGGCAAAAAAAAGAAGTGCTGATTGGGGCTTATCTGTGGAAATATAGTGCTCTGAAACCACTTGTGTCGTTTCCTTTGCTCCTCTTTGAGCTTTCGTTGCACCTCTTTGAGCTTTGAACTGTTTGAACAGGACCCAACAGGACTCCAGCTTCAGAGGGGGACAAGGTACAGTCCAACAAGAAGAGAAAGAAAACCCACGTGAATCCAAAGTGTTTGGAAATGACCAGCTGCTATCCTGTTGAAGTCGATATTTATAGCATTTTGAACATTTTTTTCGCAGTTTGATGTTGTGATTGCTTGCTGAGGACGGGCTAAATACACATATTTTCTGGGTACAGAGCCTGCGTTTAATTAATTCTGCTGAAATTCTATGTAGGACATGTTTTGTCTCTTCTCTCAGGAATGAGTGATATAACGTTACCTGACTTATGCATAACAAATGTAAACTTGTCTGTTTGGAAAACTGCTCAGTAAAGCTATAAAGGCAGCTTTCATGGATTACTCCAGTGGACAGTTTGGAAGGGCCAATTTAGTATCTCAGTCATGTGAATATGCCAAATATGTCCGTGCTGTCGAAGGATGTCAGCATCTTTTTAGTTTCAAAGTCTCAGTTTTACAATATGGAGAAAAGAGGCTTGGAGCAACTTTACATAAATGTAAAATTACAGCGTCACACTCAGCTAGTTTGCACAAATCAACAAGAGTCTATATCTATACCAGCAGCCATGCAAGCCTGTGCTTAGACGAAAAATCATTACGCTATCATGTTCCAAATCAGATTGTTAACGCATTGTTGCTGAACACCAAACAGTAGCAGAGACATTTCAATCACACTAGCATGGCTAAAACTCTGCACAGAGTAAGAAAACAGGGCTTTACAGAAAGAACATTAAAATATATATATTGATTTATACTGTGAGTTGTAGAAATGTTATTAAACAGCTCGCCTTTTACCAACATATTTTTGGGTTGTCACTTTGGCGAAAGAAAGAGCTCAAATCTCTCGCACTTTCTGTTCCAAGGAGCGTGGTCACTACCGCCACCGCCAGCAAGTCTAGGGGTCAGCTACTGTGAATGGCAAGGGTAACCCTCATCCTTGTAATGAAATAACAATAGCAGGAATGTTCAGAATGTCCCCAGAGAGCATCGACCCAGCCTATGGTATAGACTGCTGAATACACTACGTCTGCGTTTGGCAAATGCAGGATTTTAAGCAGTAGGGGTGGGGTAGCATAAGGGAAGGGTGGATATGATACCAATTAACTATGATGGATTCACTGCTGAAATATGTTTGTTTGCACTTGCTTAATGTATCGTAGCTAAGGCCAATAACAAAAACAGCTGTCATATAACACTCACTAGAGTTGGGGTTTCTTTCTGGAGCAGTTCAGTTTGCCGTCAGGTTTTTGCTACCACTCGATTGTCCCAGCTCAGCAGGGTGACAGGTCACTAGCACCTGTAGGGGGCCTGCAGATTCAAATAATTTACAACCTTGTTGTCTTTTGTTTCCTGTAGTGTGATTTAATCATGTCCTACATCACATGTCACGCTGGAAAAATGTTGTGCATAAGTGCTGGCAGAGATAGAGTGTGGGAGAGTTGCCTGTTTCTTTGTGTTTCTCTCTAGGGTGCTGGGAAAAAGAACGCTGTTTGGTCTGAATCATCCAAATTTAGTCTGCCTCTCACTGTGGGCTGGAGTTTTGATTTGAGTTGGGAGGTCTTGCTGTATT